GATTAGCATTGCGGAGAGCGAACGAGCTGGCACTGGGTTTGTGTCTTTTTGTTTTGTTTTACCGAATTCGAAAAAAATGCCCCTTTTTGTTATTTTGTTTGACGACCCCTGGACTCGATGTGCAAGCTGTGGAACCTGAGACTCGACTAAAATCCCACACGGTGTTGGTGACTCGACCAAGATTATGACCGAACTGATAACGATCACTACGTTGGCACTGGTCCCAGTGGCAGTTCTGATTAAATCGACGCCTCTGGTCTTCATCATCATCATACGACCCATGGTCGCCCGAAGCCACGTATGCAGGTGCAGAAACTGCCTTGGCTCGTACGGCCCTTTGATGAATCCACTGCTGGATGAAGGCCTGGCCATGCCGTGTGGGCCCTGACGGTACGTTGACCATACTTCGGCACGCTGCTTCGTGCGGGTTGGTGTATGCAGGCGGGGAGGCGTAGATGTTAGGACCATAGTACAGCACAACAGTGGATTTTCTGCACCCTTCCTTGCTGATGAAGTAAAACAAAACGAAACATATGTATATGTTTTTTTTATTTGATTATACCAGGTAAGGCTCACTTGAGCTATATAGCTCTGTTTTTCGGAAGCGACCCAGCCACAAACGGCAAAGCGGTTTATCACGTGTTAATGTACAGCAGCAGCCAAATATTCTAAACGCACGTTGATTATAAATGAAAAACGAAAATCCACGCGAGCACGTTGTCAGAGAGAGAGAGAGAGAACACTCAAGACTCCAAATATACAGCAGCAGGGGTCAAACTCGAACCCACGACCTCCTGCATGCCAGGCGCGGGAGTTCGCATCTCTCCCACCAAGGCGGCCGAGTTGCCCCGCAACAACCCGCAAAGCCTCTTGCAATGAGCCGCGGTCACCCCACGCGAGCGCTCTACGGACCCAACGCGCTGCTGAGCTCCTGAGATCCGAAGGTCCCGGGCGCGTCCCGAGCGATTCGGTTACGGGCTGCCGAGTCGCGGTAATTGCTTCGGCGCCAGCAGTTGGTGATGCCTGGCGCGCGTCAAGCCCTTAGCAGGCTCCGGGTCACGACTTAGCAGGCTCCGGGTCACGGGATTCTCACCCATCCCAGCGCTGTGTGGAGAATCGAGCGCGTATCCGGGATGATCTCGAACAACCGACATTTAGCATTTAAAAAAAAAATTCGTATTGTGTGTGTGTGTATATATATGTGTGTAACTCGGTCGGTTTCATCCGTACACTTGACAGTCCACTTTTGATAGTTTGAACAAAAATCAAAGTAGTTTTTGCTCTTTTTGTCCCACGAAATTACATTCGAAATGTATCCATGAGCGGTATTTGTTGGGGTTAGATCACGCAAATATAAATGTGTCGTTAAACCCGCCACCACCAGACACAGCCGGCGTTTATATTTGCGTGATCTAACCCACCCCCCCAATCACGTATAATAATAGTCGCGAAAGCCGACTGCGCATTGAACCAAACGTGTACATCATGTGAAGAGATGTACAACTTGGACTCTTGCAGAAAGCAGTGCACATCATGCTGCGCCACTCTTCGGTGGAGAGTTTCCCCACCACCAGAGATGACCACGACACACACTATCAACTTACCGCATGCTACGGATCATAAGATGCACACCCTCAACTTTTGCTTTAAATGAGGAGAGGGGGGGGGGGGGGGGGAGTGGCGGCGTAAATTGTGTTTCGCATTCCGGGGGTGGGAAAAGAAAACCTCAGCTCCATCTCTTCGTCAAAGCGGAACCAGCCCAGCTACGCTGAACACCGCACGGACAGAGCTCAAGCGGCTCGACAAAACCTCAGCGAGGTCATCGCTCAATGTCTGGGCGAGGTGAGCTGTCCGTCCGGCCAGTGACCACGGCGACAGCGGCGACAGCGGAGAGCCGAGGACTGCCAGCGGCTCACCCCCATCGGTCGTCGAGTCGCGCAGAGGGCTTTCAGCGCCGCTCACTCGATAGGGGCGCGGGGGGACGGTGTAGCCAGGAATTTCACGCTGGAGCGAGTGGCTCGGGAAGAGGGACACGGCCAACACAGAGAGAGAGGGAGGGAGGGAGAGGAGAGAGACAGGCGCTCGATCAGGGGGAGAAGCGCCCGGTTCCGTGCGAGCGCTCCCACGGGCCAGAGACCGCGAGCAGAGTCCCGAAGCGGAGCGCCGTCAACCGCGAACGTGAAGAGCGGACAGAAGGTGAGCACGTTCATCACACTCACCACACTCACCACACTCACCACACTCACACAATCACCACACTCAACATACCCACCACACTCACCAGACTCACCACACTCACCATAGTCACCACACTCACCATACTCACCATACTCACCACACTCACCACACTCACCATACTCACCACACTCACCACACTCACCATACTCACCACACTCACCATACTCACCACACTCAACATACTCACCATACTCACCACACTCACCACACTCAGCACGTTCATCACACTCACCACACTCACCACACTCACCACACTCACACAATCACCACACTCAACATACCCACCACACTCACCAGACTCACCACACTCACCATAGTCACCACACTCACCATACTCACCATACTCACCACACTCACCACACTCACCATACTCACCACACTCACCACACTCACCATACTCACCACACTCACCATACTCACCACACTCAACATACTCACCATACTCACCACACTCACCACACTCAGCACGTTCATCACACTCACCACACTCACCACACTCACCATACTCACCACACACACCACACTTACCACACTCAGCACATTCACCAAATTCACTACACTCACCATACTCATCACACTGACCACACTCAACATACTCACCACACCCAGCATACTCACCATACTCACCACACTCACCACACTCACCACACCTAGCACACTCACCACACTCACCACATTCACCACACTCAACACATTCACCACACTCAGCACATTCACCACACTCGCCACACTCACCGCACTCCCCATACTCACCATACTCATCACACTCACCACACTCACCGCACTCACCACACTCACCAAGCTCACCGCACTCACTGCACTCACCACACTTACCACACTCACCACACTCACCACGCTCACCACACTCACCACACTCACCACACTCAACATACTCACCATACTCACCACACTCACCATACTCACCACACTCACCATACTCACCACGCTCACCAAACTCACCACACTCCCATACTCACCATACTCACCACACTCACCATACTCACCACACTCACCACACTCAGCACGTTCATCACACTCACCACACTCACCACACTCACCACACTCACACAATCACCACACTCAACATACCCACCACACTCACCAGACTCACCACACTCACCATAGTCACCACACTCACCATACTCACCATACTCACCACACTCACCACACTCACCATACTCACCACACTCACCACACTCGCCATACTCACCACACTCACCATACTCACCACACTCAACATACTCACCATACTCACCACACTCACCACACTCAGCACGTTCATCACACTCACCACACTCACCACACTCACCATACTCACCACACACACCACACTTACCACACTCAGCACATTCACCAAATTCACTACACTCACCATACTCATCACACTGACCACACTCAACATACTCACCACACCCAGCATACTCACCATACTCACCACACTCACCACACTCACCACACCTAGCACACTCACCACACTCAGCACATTCACCACACTCGCCACACTCACCGCACTCCCCATACTCACCATACTCATCACACTCACCACACTCACCGCACTCACCACACTCACCACACTCAGCACATTCACCACACTCACCACACTCACCACACTCACCATACTCACCACACTCAACACATTCACCACACTCACCACACTCACCAAGCTCACCGCACTCACTGCACTCACCACACTTACCACACTCACCACACTCACCACGCTCACCACACTCACCACACTCACCACACTCAACATACTCACCATACTCACCACACTCACCATACTCACCACACTCACCATACTCACCACGCTCACCAAACTCACCACACTCCCATACTCACCATACTCACCACACTCACCATACTCACCACACTCACCACACTCAGCACGTTCATCACACGCACCACACTCACCACACTCACCATACTCACCACACTCAGCACACTCATCACACTCACTGCATTCACCACACTCACCACGCTCACCACACTCAGCACACTTGTCACACTCACCACACTCAGCACACTCAGCACATTCACCACATTCACCACACTCACCACACTCACCACACTCAGCACACTCACCACACTCACCACACTCACCACACTCACGTCACTCACCACACTCACCACACTCACCACATTCACCACACTCACCACACCCACCACACTCCCCACACTCACCACATTCACCACATTCACCACACTCACCACACTCACCACACTCACCGCACTCACCACACTCACCATACTCACGTCACTCAGCACACTCACCACACTCACCACACTCACCACAGTCACGTCACTCACCACACTCACCACACTCACCACATTCACCACACTCACCACACCCACCACACTCCCCACACTCACCACACTCACCACATTCACCACACTCACCACACTCACCACACTCACCGCACTCACCACACTCACCATACTCACGTCACTCACCACACTCACCACACTCACCACATTCACCACACTCACCACACTCACCATACTCACCACACTCACCACACTCAGCACACTCACCACATTCACCACAGTCACCATACTCACCACACTAACCGCACTCACCACACTCAACACACTCATCATCATCATCACTCGCAAGAGGAGAGAGACGCTGCTGCTGCTGGTGCCATCATCATCATCACTCGCAAGAGGAGAGAGACGCTGCTGCTGCTGCTGCTGCTGGTGCCATCATCATCATCACTGCTAAGAGGAGAGAGACGCTGGGAGCCATCATCATCAACATCACTCGCAAGAGGAGAAAGCCGCTGCTGCTGCTGACCGTACACGGTCGGTCCCTTTGTCGACGGCTCCGTTACGATCCTGTGGGAGTGGTCGTTATTATCCCTAACGAGTTATTATCCCTAACGAGGCGTCGCTGATTTGCTGAGTCAGGCGCGGGTTGTTTAGCCTAAATAAATGAATACACAACACTAATCTGCTTTGCAAATAGGGCTTATTTAATAACCCGGGGAAAGCCCCACTCACCCACCAGCCGTACGATTATTCTTGATTTGAAGCTTTTGTGACTGCAGGAATCCATACTCGTTGGTTCTTTCGGTAAAGTCACGTAGGTAGACAATATAATAGATCACGACATTTCGATCGCAACACCTGATGACAGTTGCTTGCGTGGCGATCGGAAGGTCGTGATCTATTATGTTCTACCTACGTGACTTTACCGAAAGAACCAAATAGTATGTACGATTATTCTTTTTTTTCCCGGTAGAGTTCAGAGTTGTTCATCTGATATCTGTTCATTTAATGATGTTATTCGTGTCCGTAAGCAAAGATAACACATGGAGAAAATCCTCCATGCAGCACGCCTTGTGAAGGAAGGTCATTGAGAAAACCCATGCAGCACGCCTTGTGAAGTAAGGTCATTGAGTAAACCCATGGAGCACGCCTTGTGTAGTAAGGTCATTGAGTAAATCCATGCAGCACGCCTTGTGAAGTAACGTCATTGAGTAAACCCATACAGCACGCCTTGTGTAGGAATGTCATTGAGTAAACCCATGGAGCACGCCTTGTGTAGGAATGTCATTGAGTAAACCCATGGAGCACGCCTTGTGTAGTAAGGTCATTGAGTAAACCCATGGAGCACGCCTTGTGAAGGAATGTCATTGAGTAAACCCATGCAGCATGCCTTGTGTAGTAAGGTCATTGAGTAAACCCATGGAGCACGCCTTGTGTAGTAACGTCATTGAGTAAACCCATGGAGCACGCCTTGTCAAGTAAGGTCATTGAGTAAACCCATGCAGCACGCCTTGTGTAGTAAGGTCATTGAGTAAACCCATGCAGCACGCCTTGTGAAGGAATGTCATTGAGTAAACCCATGCAGCACGCCTTGTGAAGGAATGTCATTGAGTAAACCCATGGAGCACGCCTTGTGTAGTAAGGTCATTGAGTAAACCCATGGAGCACGCCTTGTGAAGTAACGTCATTGAGTAAACCCATGGAGCACGCCTGGTGTAGTAAGGTCATTGAGTAAACCCATGGAGCACGCCTTGTGTAGTAAGGTCATTGAGTAAACCCATGCAGCACGCCTTGTGTAGTAAGGTCATTGAGTAAACCCATAGAGCACGCCTTGTGTAGTAAGGTCATTGAGTAAACCCATACAGCACGCCTTGTGTAGTAAGGTCATTGAGTAAACCCATGCAGCACGCCTTGTGTAGTAAGGTCATTGAGTAAACCCATGGAGCACGCCTTGTGTAGTAAGGTCATTGAGTAAACCCATGCAGCACGCCTTGTGTAGTAAGGTCATTGAGTAAACCCATGGAGCACGCCTTGTGTAGTAAGGTCATTGAGTAAACCCATGGAGCACGCCTTGTGAAGGAAGGTCATTGAGTAAACCCATGGAGCACGCCTTGTGTAGTAAGGTACAATTCATAATGGCCAACCAGCCTCCTCTGCTTCTGTGAATATTGAACAGATACAGAGGGGCCCAGGACCTATTCAGATCGTCGTCACTGGTGTTGGCCATGAGCAGGAATCTAACTCGGGTGGTCGGGTTCTTCGCGCAGCGCGCTACCCACCGCACGACCGATCCCCACTCATACACGCACAGCCACATGCACTCACAAACACACACGCACAAAAAATATTGCACACGTACTATATGCACACTCGGGCACTTTCACACGCACGCAGCTAATTATTAGGGAAAGATAATAACTCTGTCGTGATGCGTTTTATTGACGTTCGGCAGTGCTGGGGGTAATGCCGTGTGGCTGAAGGCCCTCATTCGGCCCAGAAATCATCGTCCTGTCGCTGACAGCCCATTAGCAGCACTCACTGCACGCCTCTCATTGTATCTGTGTCCGCAGTGCTTCTCTCTCTCTGTGTTTTGTACGCCTCTCCGCGTGTCTGGTTGTGTCTACATGCGGCGCGGTGGTGGTGCAGTGGTTAGGGCATTGCGCTGCCAACTCCCATGATCCGAGTTCGAATCCCTGCCACGGCGAACATCAGTGACGAGTAGGCAGGAATGTGCTCCTGGGTTGCATAGCCACAATCACGCTGGTGTGGTGTGTCTTCATTGTGTCTCGATGTGTCTCTGTGAGTGTCTGTGTGCCTTCATGTATCTCTCGGAGTCTCAAAGTATATTCATTAATCTCAATGTGTCTATGCAACTCGACTAATCTCAATGTGTCTACTTTTTGGGTTTACTATGTGGTCCACAGTCAGAAATTGCATGGCCACAATCGCACCGCTGTGGATGGGTGGGAGGCGGTGGGCCCCTTCAAGGCGGTGGCCCCACTTTGTCACGTGTTCTCATGTCGCCTCGAGCACAACTAATGCCGTCATGTAGGCGAAATGGGAAGTCGTTAATTCGTATCCAGATTTATGCAGCATTGGGAGAAAACGCGCCCAATAACTGGTGCGTAAAGATGTAGAGTAGGAATTAGTGACGTCATATCACGCTCGCCCTCTGGTACGATGACGTCACGGATGGTGACGTCATGCACAGGGGGCGGGACGGTGACGTCATGCCCCCCTGGGGTATTTAATCTGGAACCCGTCACGGGTTCAGGGTCGTCTGGAGGGTCCGGGAACGAGAAGGGTGGAAGTCGGGACCCAGGGTAGGGGGAAATTGGCACCAGGCTAGGGTAGCCTGTGGGTGTGCTAGGGACCTTCCCAGTACCCTTCCCCTGGGGGAGCGATGGGACCCCAGGGTAGGGGGAAATTGGCACCAGGCTAGGGTAGCCTGTGGGTGTGCTAGGGACCTCCCCAGTACCCTTCCCCCGGGGGAGCGATGGGACCCAGGGTAGGGGGAAATTGGCACCAGGCTAGGGTAGTCTGTGGGTGTGCTAGGGACCTCCCCAGTACCCTTCCCCCGGGGGAGCGATGGGACCCAGGGTAGGGGGAAATTGGCACCAGGCTAGGGTAGTCTGTGGGTGTGCTAGGGACCTCCCCAGTACCCTTCCCCTGGGGTGTGGAGTGTAGGCAGTGAGTGTGCAGTACACGGAGTCGTGTGCGAAGAAAGGTCTTTAATAAAACAAGTGGCGTGAGCCCTTAATAAACGTGGCGCAAGCCCTTACACGAAGATCTGCCTCCGAGTCATCAGTTACGCCTCAACAAAGATACAGATTAAGTCGTCGCTTAACTATATATATAAAAAAAATATTATCTTATTTGACCAGATAAGGCCCACTGAGCTGTACAGCTCTTTTTCATAAAGCGACTTGTCCATCACAAATGATAGCACAAAACGAAGTGGCTTATCACGTGGAAATGTACAGCAGACAAATAGTCTAAAAACGCACGTTTCGAACATCACGTAACGGGAGCTCACGCAACGCGCGTTGGCTGTTGCGCGGTTCTTCCATTCGGGAACGCGCACCGACACAACACGGAACGCGCGCCATCATAACGCGATTTCTGAGCGGTCGATAATGAACTACTCTGTCGAGCTTGCGAGTCTGAGCGGAGCGATACACAGTACGCGGAACGATACAGTAATATGGCGATGCGCCCTCAGTTCTTTTGTCCCGCCATCTCATCTCACTGTGCGTGCGTGCTCGGTACGTCTCGCCAAACGTTATGGCTACATTATCTATGGGCAGGGGTAGGCAACCTGCCACTCCGGAGCTCCGTGCGGCTCTTTGAGGACTGCCTCGTGACGTTATTTATTAAGGACCAGCACCGTCTCGTATTCGCCACACGCTGCATTGCGGCTCTTTATTATTCAGCGTTTATTTAACCGAATTCGAAAACAAACGTCTCTCCTTGGTTTTCGTTTTTATTTCCAAAAATGGTTTTCGCCTCACGCGTTTTTCGCTGAACGCGGCACTTTACAGGAACGCATTCCAGCACGTTAAGCGAGGACTTACTGCACATGGGAGGTCTTGATGTGAGGGGGTTGGTGGGGTTTGGTGCCAACGCGAAATATTCACGCGCATGGCAGATATTGCACTCTCAATATGAATTTCAAATGACAGTGAGGATCCTCTGGAGATCACCGTCTGTTCGTGGCTTGGAGTTACATTTGCTCATTTCAATTGCCCCATGTTCAGGGTTTTTTTTTCTCACAATAATACGGCATTGGCATTTACGTAACTGAAATGCAGTGTTTGCACATCTACGTGCTCATATTATATCAGTTGTGCGTGTCTCTGCTGTCATGCAGCTTTCATTATGTGCCTATAAAAGGTACAACGTGTAATATCCATATGTGTATGTATGTGCTTCGAAAAATGTATATTCACATTTTTTGTACTCTTCGATTTACGCCGTCTGACTAACTCGGCCGCTTCTCATGAATAATGTTATGATTATGTTTATCATTTGTTTCAGCAATTCTTCTTTCCGTGCGAGCACTTGATGCCATCGGAAGGTTCAAAGTTCGCATCCTGGTCCAGGTCTTGTCATCCATTTGGGCATCAATTCGGTAAGAACCACGCGGTAAAAAAATTAAGCTGATCGTCCTATGGGGGTCAACTGGCTCCTGCCATAGGAACGTGGAATTTCCACCGCTGGACTCGTGCTGCCGATTAAGAATTACCACTGGCCAATGTAAAAAAAAAATCAGCAGAGGCGTGCAGATGACACGTTTAGACGACTACTCATCCCCAGCCTCCGATTATCGCGGTTGGCTACACACGGTGCGTGAAAGAGCTCACCATACATACGTACCAGACATGACCTGTCCACTGCTGGATGAAGGCCTACCCACACCGTCGCCGCCACCGCTCACAATACCCCTGTGCACATTGCTTGACCCCACCGCTCCACGTCTGCCGTGGACGTCCTCTTGGCCCCGCGTTCGCTCCTTTGGCTACCTCTCCGTCATCAATCACCATGATCAACCACCATCCATCCGCGTTCCTCACAAGTCCGGCTGCGTGGAGCTATTTAGTGCACAGGCGGTGCAACTGCGCTCGGGGGCCACGGGGCGGGGCATGAGTCGGAGGGGCCTAGGCGCAGGGCTATGTCGAGGAGATAAATAATTAAACTAAAACTTTTTTTTTACCAGGCATTTCCCACTGTGCTTATAAAGCAAATTTTCAGAAGCCACCTGGCCACAAATGATAGCTCAACAGAGTGGGTCATCTTGTGGAAATTTATAGCAGTCAAATTCTCGAAACCCACGTTGATTCTAAATGTGGAGGGAAAATCGGAGGAACTGGAGAAATGTTCACGTGACCAGCAGGTGTCAGCGTAGGGATCGAACCCACGCATTTCTATAAACCAGGCGAGGTAGTTAACATCTCGCCACATCTGGCAGAGCAGCACCCATGGCAAACACACTGGGCCACCGCTCAGTCTCAGCCGCTCCCGATTGCTTTTCCTTAACAAGCGGGGCAGAGCCGTTATCTCTCGGCAGTCCCCGTCGCCTCTAGCTGCGTCGTCTCTGTCTGCCCTGGGATAAACTTTTAACTCCGCGGGGTGGGGGGGGGGGATTGGGTTCGCAGTAGCAGAGGGTCTGAGTCAGGCAGGCCCGGACTGGCCGTGGGGCAGCAGTTCGTACGGCAAATGCCTGGATGGGCCGGTCCATTCCGTGGGCCGGTGGGTTGCTCTGTGTGGGGAAATTGTAAATTTGATAAGAGTAATATATGTTTTAATTAAAATAGTCTATTCCCTCTAATGTGTGCGCCTCATTGCTTATTTACGCTCTCAGTTGGCATTAAGCCCCCTTATATATGGCAGTCCCAAACAATCTTTATCACCGGCCCCATTTGTGTTTTTTTGGAACAAGCCCCAAATGGGCCGATGAGATGGCGCGGCAACATCACGCGAACACGTCCTCACATCGCAAATCCAGCGACTAGTACTACACACTTTGTATGTAGGTAGTATACAGCTCGTCGCACAACCCATGACAAAAAAAATATATGCCCATAGCCCGAATTTTGTGGCGGTGCGTTTGTTTGCACATGCCTGGGCCGATGTTTAGTCTAGTCCGTCAAACTGGGTGGGTGGCTTCAACTCAGCCCCGAGGGCAAAACCTCACCGCCTCGCTCTCCCTAAGTAGGGGGGGGTAGGGGGGGTCGGCTACCATTAATATTTCTCAAAGTTGAAATTGCCCCTCTGCGCTATTTTCCCTTTTTGCCGATCCCATTACCGCCATTTTAATTTGCATTCGGGCTGCCAAGGTTGATTGTTCGTGTTGACACCCGGCGGTGATTTGGGCAGCAACATCCAATTTCAGCTAAAAGCAAATGTCACCTCAGATGTCTGGCCTCGTAGCCGTACGTAATCAGGATAATGCAGTTACCGTCCCTAACGATGCGTTAGCATTCAACCAGAAACAAACTAAAAAATGAGGCCTTTTGGAGAGCGAGAGAGAGAGAGAGAGCTGGAGGCTGCCCAGCCAATCGAAGAGCGCGTCGCTGCGGTCCGTTTCCCGCACGCGAGCGAGACGCCTATAAAACCCCGTTTATACAAAAAAAAACACAAGAAGAGGTTTTACCCCTTTCCGGAAATAAAACAGGTGTCAAGATGTTCAAACGCCGAACAGAAACCTTGTTTTGCAAGGGATCATGTCTGCGGTCACTAAACATACGTGTGGTGATCATGGAAATAAAAACATGCCCTGGTAATACATGGCATTGTCTTTGAAACTGATTGGCCTACACCAGAGCCTTCTTTCGGGCCTAGTTAGACCAGAGAACGCCAAAAGGTTGAGACTAGGCCCTAAGAACAATCAGTTTCAAAGACAATGCCATGTATTACCAGATCATGTTTTTGTTTGCACGATCACCACAAGTATATGCAGTGACTGCAGACATGATTCCTTGCGAAAAAGGTTTCTGTTTTTGTGTTTGAACGTCTTTACACAACTGTGTAATGCCACAAAGGGTAAAATCGATTATTATATTTTGATACTGATAATAAAGGTCCGATGTTACAGTATACCATTAAACTATTGCTTTATGTCACCAGGTAAGGCCCCAACTGCACCGCTATATGGCTCTTTTTCAAAAGCCACCTGGCAATCACAAATGAAAGCCCAATGAAGTGGCTTATCACGTGGCAACTTATTGCAGCCAAATACTCTGAACGCAATACAGAGACGTAAACTATGGGCCAGTTATAATCATTATTGCAGTTGTGCACATGTAGATATATCAAGAAGGTACTGTTGCATTAGGTTGTTTTAGCCAAATGAAGTGGCTTATCATGTTGAAATTTATAGCATCCAAATACTCTGAACCAGGGAGGGGTTGGAAACCTGCAGCTCCGGAGCCCTCGTGCGGATCTTTAAGGACTGCCTCGTGGCGTTATTTATTAAGGACCACCACCGTCTACGTATTTGCCACGTGGCATTGCGGCTCTTGAAAAATGTTGTTCTTTTTGATTGACAGAATTCTAAAGAATTGGCTCTTCTTGTTATTTTGCTGACGTAGATTCTAACTGTGGAGGGAAAAACCCGGAGGGACCCGGAGCAAAAGTCCACGCGACCACGGGGAGAGAGAGAGAGACACGCAGACTCCAAATATACAGCAGCAGCAGCAGGCGTCAGGGTCGGGATCGTAACAACTTGCTAAAAAACAAACCCACATCGGAGAGCCGTGCTGATGAAATGCCATCACGCGTGAGACATCGTCGCCCCGGTTACATCGTCGGCATCGTGTCACGAGATACAGTGGGACAGCTACAATAGTTTATCAAGTTGGGCCACGCAGCTAATAGGATTCGTATTTGTTTTTTTTTACGTTGTGACCGTTTGTAGAGTTGTAGATTTAACACTCGAGGGAAAAAAAACTCGACTTTTTTTGGGGTTGTCACTGTCCGGTTAAAATAGATCGGATCATGTTGATTCATACGTTTTTTTTTCCCGGGTTAGGCCATGTGGTGGTGGTGGTGGTGGTATTTTGACGGCAAACTGACGATAACTTTGGCGTAACACCACGGCGTCGTTGAGTCGCCGTGGAGAGGAGCCGTGCGGCTCACCGCGGACTTCGCTCAAGAAAAAACAAGGAAGCTTCTCTAAACAGACCTTACGTTATATTCTTAGCTCTTTCGGTAAAGTCACGTTGAAGGAAAACAATAAAATAATAAAATATATTTAAAACAACAAAAATTCTAACGACGTTTCGACCATAACACAACCGGTCGTCATCAGGTGTGCCGTTTGTGTTATGGTCGAAACGTCGTGAGAATGTTTTTATTGTTATATATATATTTTATTATTTTATTGTTTCCCTTCAACGTGACTTTACCGGAAGAGCTAAGAATATGAATTGCTGCAGTCACGAAAGCTTTAAATCAAAATTTAGACCTTACGTTGTGGACTTCTCTCTCCTCGTGTGTACACCAACCCCACCCCCCCCTCCCCCACCCACCCACTGGCTTCGGAGCAGATGCCGATGATGGGATTTTAAGAAGTGTGGAGCGGTTTTCTGGTGAGCAACGTCAAATCATCATGCACAGCAGCACGGCTTACTCTACTGACGTCACAGTACGCTGCGCCCCACCCACCCCCATCTCCACCAATAAGAATCACTGCGACTTGAGGCGATCCCGGCTATTGATGTTAGATAAAACGAAATAGTTTTACGTGAAACCACGCACGCAAAAAAAAAATGCGAACACAAAAAAAAACCGTGATTTCAATTGGCTCCGTCGGAAGAAGGGGGGGGGGGGGGGGGGAGGAGGTTATGCGGTCGTGAAAACGTGACGGCAATCTGTCACGGGAGAAACGAATCGCGAATTGTATTGTGCCGTGACGACATTCAACAAAAGAAAGTACACAAAATAAACTGTAACAAACCAGAACGACTTGAAGCGTACGCGCGCAATCGAAAATAAAATAAATTACTGTAGTAATAGGTTTTAACCCTTTTAACTGGCACAAAAACTGACACCTTTATTCAAGGCTCTAAGAAAAGCCGTCTCGGGTGTGGACCAATCAAATTCAAGGACAGTGCCAATATTATTATCAGAGTCGTCTCTTATTGTTTGCATTTTGACTGCTTGTGTTGTGGTTATTGCAAACATGATGCCTTGTTACTGGCAAAGGAGGTCTCATAAAATAAATGACTCTTTGGTTATTTCGGCAAAGTCACGTAGGAAGAAAATTTAATTTAACAATAGAGTACGACGTTTCGATTGTAACACAAGCAAGCGTCATCAGGTAGAACACAATGTACTGTCTTTCTACACGTGACTTCACCGAATAAACCAAAGGGTAAGACCTGCGGTCACGAAAGCTTCAAATCAATAAAATAAATGTTACACATTTCGAATGGATATAATGATGATGATGTCAACTTGTAAGCGCCCCAACGCGGCGCAGTATTCGCTCCTCGCTCTTGAGCAGAGAGGAGGAGGTGCGGAGAGGAGGAACCACAGACCGACGGTCGGCTGCGTGCGATGCGAACGAAGATCAACGCACAAACATAAAGACGAGCGGGAAGGCAGCAGCAGCAGCAGCCACGCGACGAGCAGGCGCAAAGTTATCCTGCGAGCTCTGCCGTCCTCTATATATGAAGGTGTTATCGGTCAATGGACGAGCGTTTTACACGTGGGAGGAAAGCGGAGCACGCAGAGAAAGGCCACGCGCGCGAGGGGGCAACACTCTATCCCCGTTTTGGCGGAACTGCCTTCTCCTGGCGGCGAGCCAGAGTACGGCACCTCCCCGATGCCCACAGGAAGGGAGTTGAACAATATCTGTGTGTGATCCAGCAACCCTCGCCGTCTCCACAGCGCTGGATTACGGGCCACGTGCATCTAAGCCATCACCATCCGACCCCCACAATTTCGACCGTGAGCCACGCGATGGCCCTTCCGATGGTCGCGGCAGAGGTTGACAGTTGGAGCCCGGCAGCTGCCCTGGTTAATACTGCGTGTCTATTAACTCTGCATGTGCACTGTCCGTTTCTTTAGAGCGGATGTTGTGTGCTGAGGTCACGGTCCAAATTTGGCAAATGTTTAAAATGATAGCAGCGTTTAGCACGCTCCGCTGCGAACCCGCTCACAGCACCAGTGACGACTCTCTGAACCGGGGCTGGGTCTCTTTGTAGGTCGTCTCACCCATCCAATGAGTACCTGGTGCGGTGTGTAAACCTCACCGTTAGGGAGACAAAGGCGGCCGGGCGTGGTGTTGGCCACCCACCCGCTCGTGTACCGTCCCGACCTTCATAGGTGCTCGTGAACAGCACTTGCCTCAACAGTCTGTTAAGTCTATACCGGCGGGAGGGGAGTCTTTATCTTTGTTTCGTGCTGACGTCACGGTCCATCTTTGAAAATGTAAAAATTATCGCACACTTACTTAATTGGGTAAAGCCACATTAGGGCATCATCAGCAACGGTGAAACGACTTTAAACGTGACCCGTCTGTGAAACAGCACGGTCGTGATAGCCTCGTGTGCTATGCCATTGCTCTCTATTGCAAGGCCCGCAGGCCACTGACGGCTCCTCGTGGCCCTTCGTGCAGCCCCCCCTGATGTGCCACCCCTCGACAATACACGACACGTGACAACACCCCCCCCCCCCCCATCACCGTGCTGCTGTCAAATACCACAATAGTTTCAAATGTGTGGCGGCCCTCACCCTGATGACTGCGATTGCATTTGACTGCGACTAATTGCGTATACTGGACTGCATTGAGGCACCTTCCAACAGCTGTCTTCTTCGTATTCAATGCACGAATTAAGCGGCACGTTCGCCCCGGCACCGCCCCACCAACAAAATTTTCCACCCTGCCGCGCACTGCATGCTTCGTGTCCAGCGATTCGGCTTCCCCCCTCGGAAGGGGCGCCTGAGCCCCCCACCCACCCACATCCCCTTCCCTTGCCACGCCATCAACCACCACCACCACCACACCACCAGTGCAATAAAACACGGATCTCCCCCCTGTGAGGAATACATTCAATGTTTTATTATTATTGTTATAAGGGAATCGCCATGGGGTTTCCAAGGCCCCACCACGCTGTTAAGTGCCGTCTCCGACCGTAAGTCTGTTGTCTGCTCCCCGGCCCCTCTCTCTGCCATGCATGTCGGCGTGGGGAGACAGCATCTATCTCTACAAACGCGCACTGTTATGAGGCTGCGTTGATTCTTCTTCTTCTTACAATTTGTGCATGGCGGATCGAGTCGCCTCGTTACAAATTCCGCTCAATGCCCTCCCTACCAGCCACCATCCTTTTCTTCCCTGCCGCATGGGTTCATTGTGAGCCAATTCTACCGTGATTTGTTGTCCCTGAGAGAGAGAGACACAGAGAGAGCTGGGAATGAGATTAATTAACTTTTTTTCTGCTCATGTTCACTTTTTTTTGTACCGATCTGGAGTGGGATTTTGAAGGCACGCGGGTACCTGTGCAATGTACGAATTCAAGTCACGCGGTGGGGGGGGGGGGCTTCATTCGCCCCCCCCCCTCCGAGCCCCCGAGCCCCCCCCCGCCCATCCGGAGCCACCGCGCTCAGCGCTGTCGCCGGCTAATGCGGCTAATTACGGCCAGACGCTTTAATGCCGTTAATATTGGAAGATAATTCCTCGTTCCTCCGAGCGGAATTCTTGCTGAGAGCGCGTAGCCAGGAGGACCAAAGTCTCGGAATTCGAATTCGTTTCTTCTCTGGGGGGGGGGGGGGGGGGGGTGGTGGGGAGGAGTGGGGTGAGCGGTTCGACTATTTAACCCATAGAGACGCCGGGGGGAGTGGCGGGGGGGGGCCTGGTTGCGATACACTGCATCGTCAGCTCGCTCGGCACTGCGCGCGCTCACCACGACCCAGCTCCTGCTCCCGGCGGTGGCGAGCGGAGCCGAGCTCTCGCGCGGGGTAGCGGCGGCGGCGGCGGGGGAGAAGCGTGGAGGCAGTCGCGGATGCAAAATAAAACAAGGAACAAGAGAAGCGAGACATTCTGTGTCGACGTGAGAACAGCCACTGCTTGTTGTTTCACTTTTGTTCGAGCCCAAGGCCGTAATTATAATATATATTGGGACACACACACACACACACATACTCCCCCCCCCAATATTCAAATATGCTCAAAATATTCCGCCCAATATATTGCTATAAAATAGATTTCTGTTTATATGATTGTGGTTATGGTTGTACTTTATTAATCGCAAATCACTGCCATTACATACAATGAAACAGGAAAAGGTAAAAAAATAAAAAAACAGAGCAATGTAATACAATACACTATTAGACATTATTGTAAAAAAATAAATAAAAAGTACATCCTATGTGTTTGTGAAGCCAACTCACACAGCTGAGTCTCACCACCCCCCATCCCCCAGTGCGGCGTTCCGATGTTTACATCGCCGAGTCTACCTCGCGGAGGCCCAGCAACCTGGTTCGAGATACCTCGCCAGTGATGTCAGCCCGCGGCGTGGTTTCGCCAACCGCTGCGCCACCGCTCCTCGTCGTCGTCACACGCTCATGGAGCACTCCGTGTGAGTGGTGGCCGCCTCTGGCGCCTGTGGTTCGGACCGAGAGAGGTTGACTCGTCCACGTTATTCTAATTGCGGGCATATATTCCCGAAGCCGCGCTATCCCTAGTGACCCCAGTAACCTATTAAACGATTGTTTTTATTTTATTTTACGAGGTAATGCGCGCCGTGCAGCGATAGCTCTGTTTTTTTTTTCTTCCAGAAGCGACCTGGCAGACGAATGACAGTGCAACGAAGTGGCGTGTCATGTGGACATTTACAGCAGCCAAATACTCTACACGCACGGCGGAAACTCAAACGATGGGGCCAGTTATAACAAGCATTATAATTGCGTACGTATCTAGCGGGTGCTGTTGCATTGGGATGTGTGGTCAACACCAGTTAACATTTCGCCTTTTCGTCGTTTGGCTGTGGGAAGACAACCGGCGAACCCGGTTGAGTGGTGGAGGAAACCCGTACAGAACACGTGAGAGGACACACAAACTCCACGTGCAGGAAGGTGCCCCGAGTCGGGGGTCGGACGCGGCTTCTTTGCGTTTTGTTTGACCGCACGCGGCGGAGGCACGAGGCGCGGCCACTCGCGGCGCGGGCCCCTGGTGCTTGGGCAACGGCGTCCACGAGGTTTTAATCGCGATCAGTTTTCAGCCCCGTTGCTTAGCAGAGAGGATTATTGCATAATTCATGGAGATTTACATTTATATTAGCGGCAAGCACGACTCCGAGGGGAGGGGATCGTGGCATTCGGGGATATTCCCCACGCGGAGCTCCCCATTTTTTTATTTTTTTATTTTTACCTGCGCAGAATCAAGACCGCTTAACAGGAGTTTGGCTTCAAGCGCAGAGTTGACACTCGGGGGCAGTAACCTCGGCCGATCTATTCGTCCACTCGCCACGCATCACCCTCCAGAGCAGTGGGTCTCAACCGAGGCGACACGCGGACTCCTGGGGGTCGGGTGGCAATGTCCCATGGGGGGGGTACGTGCCGTGATTTATACTCGCGTGTGAAATTATATCTTACGCGAGTGCCATTGGTGAATCATCACGTTGTATGAACCTGCCAATAGAAAAATAACGACGATGGACAATTTAAATCGATATGGTAACCTCCATCGATATAAAATAACTTCTCAAACTCACTCATCGTAAACTATTTTGGTTTCCAAGAGTAGCCAGCGAGGGCGAACAAACTACGGCCGCATGCAGAGCGTCCGTTGGTTTTTTTAAATTCTCTTACAGAAATGTATGAATAATGAAGATCGATATTTTAACCAATTGTCCATTTTGTGAGGTATCCCCTAGAGCAGGGGTCGGCAACCGATGGCTCGCGAGCCAGATGTGATAAGACTTATAAGACTTATAAGTCGTTTCATGTTAAGAAATGTCAGCTAAGAATTATTTGCGAGCCAGATGCAGTCTTCAAAAGAGCCACATCTGGCTCGCGAGCCATAGGTTGCCGACCCCTGCCCTAGAGTATACAAGTAAGGGTGGGGGGGGCTCTCTAGGGCACCCTCTCGTGGAGGCTCTTCCGCTATCAGGGGCGTGAGCGAGCCATTGCAGGGCTGTGCCCTTCACCTTATTCACGAGTTGAGCAAGTGCGCTTGTTCGGCGCGGAAAGAGGCAGAGGAGGCCGATTTGATGGAGGCGTTCGCTGGGCAGCGCTGCCCTGGTGGCTCTGGGGGCAATCCCAAGGGAGCTGCTGGTGGAATTGACTCGCGCAGGCAGTGTCCACTGCCCGGTATTATTTTGTGTGTGTGTGTGTATCATCGCTAGCGTCTACATTTCAAACGATAGGGATCAGTTGGTCTCTTCTTGCGAATGATGGCAGCGGCAGGCAGCAGCAGCAGCGATGTGTTTAGGAGCTCAATGCCAATGTCGAGGTTCTACTAAACCACCAGAAGTAACCTCCACCGTTGTGAATTGCATTTATTCGTCAACGCTATTTTTTCCCCTTCTTCTTTCTTATTTTGCCGGTGTCAAGGCAAGGAAAAATGCATAATCCTCAAAGCCACGCGAGCGGAGCTCAAAACAATTATCATGAAAGAGGGCCCTATAATTAGGCCTGGAACGTGCGATCTTTGCAGCGCTTAGGCATTACATGCATTTATGCGTTCAGTAGATTTAGACAATGTTGCCGTAAAAGCTTTGAACCTCTTAAGCCGATTGCGCGCGTGCTCAACAGCAGGCCGAGAGAGGCACTCAAATGTGTTTGATTTTAATTTTTTGTTTAAAAGTGTATATATTTTTTTAAGTTCCGTGGTGTGTTTTATGGTTTGTAAAGTGCTAATTGGCCCAACGGGGAAAAAAAAAACTGTAATCGATATCAAAAACCACTCTTGGTCACAAATATTTCTCCCTGTGGTCACCCATTGCCCTTCAGCCACAAACGCAAACTAAATGTTACGCGCGCGAATTGCGGGGAAGAATAAAAGTACGAAGGGCTGGATGTCAGCCGCCTTGAGGCAGGCATTTAAGGAATGAGAAGATTATCAATATAGCTTTCAGAAATGCCTATTTCAAACTACTTTTGTGCACTGTGGTGCCTGGGGACAGAGGGAATGTCCGACCCCTTTAAATTAACCTCGCGTGCTCATTCGGTGTCTCTCCTGCTGCCACTGAAAGGACAACTTCTTTAGAAATCAATGCCCCATTTTTGCCGTCTGCCACTCTTTTGTGCAGGAGAACAGTGTGGGCTCTGACTAAGCACCCACGATTGATGGGTTTTGTGGTTCCCAGTGGTATCTACAGAGAGGCCACCTCAACCACCTTGAAAGCTTTAACATGGTCACGCATTCAGATGAAGATATATATCTACACAAATGATTAATGATGGACCTGTCGCGGTTTTATTATTAACGCTGTGCTTTAAATCAAAATGACAGAGGTGCCCCGGAGGCCGAGGTGTTTACTATCGAGCCCGCATGGTCGAGATCCTGCAGGGTTCGGGATTAAACTCATGCGGTTCTCCACCGCAGTGAGCTGATGGTCTCGGCCTGCTCACACAGTGACTTGCATACAGACCCCATCGACTCGCACCAATACCCACGCCAATCGCCACTAAGTGACGGGGACGTCACCACGGCGCCTGTACCAGGCAGGGTGCACTTTCAGGCTACCACGTGAAGTGTCGAAGGCTCGCTGCTGACAGGAGGAGGTCCACGGGACAGACTCAGCAGGTGCCATGGGTTGACTGACTGAGATGACTGGCAGATGCACCAACTGTCCTTTCTAGTGTGCCAACTTGCTGTATTTTTGCTGCCTGGCGCTCCGCACGTTGTTGTGAGCGTCGCTCCTGTACCCTCCTTTGTTGTTGGAGGACGACTGCCTCCAACTGACCAGTAGCGTCCTTCACAAGCCTCCTCCATGGACTCCCACATGCACTCATAGACGTACATAGAGACTCGTACTTACACAAGACTGAGCTTTGATTCCGCCGGGTTCGCAGGTGGAGTCACTTGATGGTCTTAGTCTGGTCACCAATCATTACAGGAGGGGGAAAAAACCCCCATAACGTTAAATGAGATTTCGTTTTCATCAAACCCCAGGGGTATCTCTAAAAGTCAACACGCTCTTCTCCAAAAAAAATTCAATACAGCTGCTCGCATAAACGATATCGAGCACGTGGACATCCCACGAACCGCCATCATTGGTGCGACGATATCAGCTCCAGCCTCTCTGAGGTCCACCGAAGCACACACACACGCACGCACGCACACACGCACAAGGGAAGGGAGGCAGAATTCAACAAGGACACACACGGGACCCATTCCTTAAAGACCCCCATTTAAACCCCACGTCTGGGACCCGCGGCCCCCAGTGTCACCAGGACACACGGAATCAGAATCGCTATTAAGTACTGGAGGAATCCGATTAGCAATGAAGTTCTATTTTTTTTAAATAGATGCCCAGTAGAAGCACGGGATCAGACCGTTACAACAACAGACAAAACAAAAACACGATAGGAGTGCCACGTATAGGTAAGAAAATCACTAAAAGAATACACCAATGACACTAAACAATTTAATTTTACCAGGTAAGGCTCACTGAGCTATGAGCTTCTCTTTCAGGAGCGACCTCGCCACAAATGACAACTCAGCGACGTGGCTCATCATGTGGAAACCTATACCGGCCAAACAATCGAGACGCAAATACAAACATCCCAGCATGGCCTTTAACAGACTTGTTTAGTGGAAGTGCTGTTCGCGAGCAGCGTCCATCAAGGCCAGCGCAGCACGCGAGGGGGGGAGGGGGCAGCACCACTCCCGGTGAGATCCCCCCCCCACGCCTAACCGAGAGACCAACGCAGAAGTAAGACAAAAAAAAGGTTGCGCATAGAAGATGACAACCTGATGATGCAGGCAGCGATGAGAAGGAAACTGGCACTATTTTGACAAATACGTAGGCTTGGACAACAATTAAAAGTGTGTCGTTTGGAAACATGGAAGGAACCGGAATGAGAGGAATACCTCACGCAGAGTGGATTCATGGCGACCGAAAGAGATTGGTGCCAGAAGGTTGTGGCCGCTAATTGAGCTTGTTGGCACGACAGGACAGAGAAGACAGTGGAAACAACAAATGGCGAAATGTGCAGCGGGCACCTACGAAGCTATCTACCCCACCGGGCCGTGATGACGATGATGATTATGGCCCACCACCGGGTGATAATGCGCCGATAGGCTCCGTAAATAAGGACGGGTACCGGCCTGGAACGCTGGGCCGGGTGTTCATTATTGGAAGTGCACCGTGCATCGGCAAATAAACGTGGTTAAGAAAATGTAATTTTTTTTAAATCTACTTTTTTTTTCTTCAATTAATTCGATTTGAAATCTGACAGGTAATCTTGTCAGGCTATAATGCAGGTGCCCCCCTCAAGTTATGCATGAAGCGGCGTATTGCAGTGACTTTGGAAGTCATTGCGTGAAGTCATTTTCCAGGGCGACCCTTTGTCACAACGCAATGCTCTGCTCACAGAAAAGAGTTTCTGACGGGAATCATCTTCGTCTCCCTGACACTGCTCTGCTAAGGCAAAGGCTATTACTACTACAATAAGCCAAGAATGTCTGTTTGTGTGTAACTACTCGCGTGACGTCACTCCACATGCCGCACCCCCCGTCATGAATATTCATGAGCGGGTGGATTTTGACATTCACGCAGAAGGTCGAGCGGAAATATTATTTTTCGCAAATTGGCTTAAAGTTTGACGTTTCTTTGTTGAAAGTTCATCTAATAAATAATTCTACGCAGCAACAAAGTGGATTTGGTGTCTTTATTTATTTCTTCAACACTTGAGAGAAAAGGTAATTCTAATTTATCCTTCTACATTATGGTAAAAATAGACATTTCTCGGTGATTTTCCAGATATTGTATCGCAATACAATTTATTTCAACCCCAGCGACCGAAAGCAGAAGCGAATAAAGTATCAAAGCAGTGAATTTGAACAAATTGAAGGTCAGTTATATACAGTGCTACAGTGAACTGCAGTGAAGTGTTTTATGACATACTTTCGTGCAAGATTCACTGCCATCAAATTTACACACAAGATACAATTATTATTACAGCTTCCGTCCTAGGACGGCCAAACAAGCTGGTATATTTATATCAATCAATCAATCAATGTTTATTTGTTGCACGGAAAGTTCCATTTAGCCATCATCATCATGATGATCATCATCATGATCGTATGATCATCATCGTCAAAGTGATCCGTAAAGAGGAACAGGAAACAAAGGAACAGCACGGTTTGCGGCTTAATTAAAAATAGGAAACAAAAATTGACATTACGCGTTTGAACAGGTAAAGTAGACAATGGACGCAAGATTAACAACGCCGCACATCAAGATCCATGCCCCCCTGCCATTGACAATCGCGCACACACACACAAGAGCGCCGTTATTAATTGCCATTGCCCCGCGTTAAGTCATCCGCTATTCGGAAGCCACTGGAGCGATGTACTCTTAACCCATCGAGATTGAAAACTCATTTCTTTTAGAACTGCTTTTTTTGCGTCCTTCCCCCGCACCTCCGTTTAGCGCGGTTGGCTACGTACGGCGCTAGAGAAGTTCAACCAATAGCCGCCACTAAGTGACGGCGACGTCACCGCGGGAACCCGTGCCAGGCCAGGTGCACAGTGAGACCGCGTGAAAGTTCAACATACATTCACGCACATACGCATACGTAGCGTGTGTGGTTGGCTCACCGTAGCACGCTCCCTGCTCGGCACGCGTGCGAGGCAGATCGCGGGCCCGGTCCGTGGCAAGCGGGCTCGCGTAGTAATCATATTTAGATGGTCGCGGGGAGGCGGTGGGGGGGGGGGGGGGAGATCGTGGATACATTTTTCGTCTGGACATTGTGGACCTGTGCGGTGACAATCTGGCACGTTAATGGCCTTCTCGTGCAAAAGCTGCTGTCGC